TTCGAAGCGATTATCGAAGCTTTGCCCGGCAGCAGCGCGATAAGTCCTGTGCCGAGTTAATCGGTCCGGCTCTTCCGAATCGATGGATTTCGTGGAAAAAAACATTTCGCCTTCAGGATAGCGTCAATTTCGAAACTTCTGCCGATACCAACGGTTCGACTTAGAGCTAGGAAAAACTTATCATCGTCATCGACGCTATGGGACGAGGTGTCGAAACGTCGCGAAGGCTCGTTGTCATCGGGTTTACCGTCCTCTCTCTCTCTCTCTCTCTCTCTCTCTGTTCTCGCTGTTCGGTATCGCTAAATAAAGCCGCGTTTAAATGCTTGCGACGCAGCTGCCGTGCGGGTACAATGGTACCCCTGTGTTCCCCGAGGCTCCGAGTTCTTTCAGAGGCATCGTAGCGTCTCTGGTTTTTTCGACCCACCGAGGAGGATCGTAAAGCGCCACGTGTTTGAAAAGTAGGTCATCGAAGCGAGTGACGAGCGAACGAACGAGCTAGGAAACGAATTTTCATCGAGACCAACAGTCACGGAAGCGTTTCGACCGCATCGGAGTATGTAGTCGAACTCGGTTGCCTCGTGACTCCCTTTTCGCGAGGGAAACCGAGCGAGGGAACCAGGCCAGATCCGAGATTTATCTCCCCTTCGTTTCTCTAGATATCGATTCGCAGCCGTTCGCACTGCGTGCCACCCTCGTTCGCGTACTTTCTCCCCCCTTCACCCTTCAGCGTCTCGAGAAATTAATAATCTACAAACCATAGAGAGAGAGAGAGAGAGAAAAGGGTGGTAGGTAGAAAACCGAGTGGTTATAGGTCTATGTTTTCTTCCTCGAGAATTCCCGCGAGGTTATATTTATCCGATTGTGGCTTGCAGTTTCCTCGCAGTTCGCTGTCCGAACGGCAAGGAACAGGAGTTTCCCCTGCGTCACCGTACACTCGATTTTCCGACCGGCTTCGGCTTTCTCGCTCCTCTTCTCCGCCCTTTCCTCAATTTTCCTCCTACCCCCGCTGCGAAGCCTCGTTAAACCGTGTACAGTCGCCTTCTGCTCGAGAATCCGTTTAGTTTCCGCGGCCAGGCATTTCGTACGCGCGAACGTTTCCATCGCAGGTAGACGAGCGGAGGAGGTTTGCTCGCGGCAAACGTCCGAACGAATAAAATTCAATGCTCCGCGTCCGCTGGTCCCGAAAGGACGCTCTTTCTTTTCGATTCTGGCATCGCCTCCGATCCTCGACCCTCCGCTCCTTTTCATCAGCGGACGTTTCAGCCTAGAGACGAAGCGACGGCAATAGGGAGAAAAAGGAGAGCAGAGGATAGACGACGGTGCACGCTTTGAATAGACCGTCTTCGCGAAGGATCTCGAGTTTCAATGGCCGTGCCACGTCCGATTTCGTGACAACCGAAAGACGTCGAAGGAGGATACGAGCGAGCGGGAGTTGTTAGGTACAAAGGAAGGGACGATTTTCGGTCGAGTACGCGCACCGATCCGAAGAAAGCCACGGGGCCCTCTTTCGTGACCCTCCTCGTGACCCTCGTCGAGGGAAAACCGGGATCGTACCGGATTCCAAAAATGGCAGGAAAAACTACGTTGAAATGATATATCGATTTATGATTTTGCGACTCCCGGTAAAAGGAACTTGATCCGAAAACCACCTTGAGAGTCGAGAGACGAACGAACGGTATCCGCGTTCGAGGAAACGTCGCCTTTGATTCGGTGACCGTGCCGCATAGGTCTCTCACGATCAGAAGGAAGCGAAACCGATATAGGAAAGGGTAAACACGCTACCGGATCTTGAGAATCGTCCATCGATAGAACGCGGAGAATGCGAAGCTTGCCAAGCTTTCCTCGTAAATCTCGACGATTGGGTCGGTCCTAACGTTTCCTCCGTTCGCCGCTTCCCGTGGGAAACGGTTCTCGACGCGATCGCGGCGCGGCGGAGGAATACTAAAAGAAACGGCCGCGATTGGGGAAGGTCACGCGTTCGATCCGCGATAATCTTCGTTTATCGTTTTATCGGTCCTCCGATGATGCATCGACGCGCGACGATAAGAAAAAACACAGGCCGCAGTTTCGGAGCAGGTTTGACGGTGTCGGCGATGGAGGCGGAGGGCAGGCTCACGATAATCCACTCGATCCTCTCTCGAATTCTCCGTTACGAATAATAAACTCGCCGACAAAGTGGCCGACTATCCCGGCAGCTGAACAGGGACCGAGCATAGACGCCTTCCACGAATCGCTTTTTTCCGTTTCGACCTTCCGCGCCGTAAAAGGAGAACCGAGTTCTCGAAGAAGGACGCCGTCGACGAGGTTTACGCGCTGCCTCTGCATCGTTCTCTCGCTTTTACGGTTCTTCGGATAAATCGATTTTTTTCCCGTAGAATCCTTTGCCTTACGGGTGGTCGCGATTCGAACGCGTCAAAACTTCCCCAATTCGCGAGATTCCCAGATACGATCTCTACGAGCGCGAATTCGATAGACGTCCAATTACGATAACGCGACACCCTCTCGATACGGAGGACCGATCGAAAATCTCCCTCGACCCCGACCCGTCCAGTCGTTCACCCGTTCCTTCGCTTCGTCGCTTTTCTCTCTTTTCGTCTCGGGCCTGGTTTTCCGGTCGAACGAGCACGGCCATTTCGAGCGCTCCGACACTGACTGGATTCTCCCGGACCGCCACGCCAAACCGTTCCGTCTTCTCTTTTCCTCGAGCGCGCAAACTTGGAATAAATCCCGCGTTAGGAAGCCTTTTCGTTCGTTTATTACTAATTTCAATGTCGTCCCTTTCCGTGCACGCGTCGCGCATCCGTCGTCTTTGGCCGCGGTTATCCTTTCTCTTTTCCAGCTCCGTATCGCTGAACGCGCGACCTGGCTTTACGATCACGGAACGTTGACCCGCGGCAACTGTAAGAGGCAGAAGTTGCTTCTCGGAACGACCGATAAACGAGAAGGAAACATCCGAGCCGGATCGCTCGATGTTGTTTCGGACGTTTCGATCATAGAGGAAGAAAGGCTGCGAGTCGCGCCAAGGTTTCAGCCGCGTAGTTAAGAAAAGCAACGCGATGCGTCGCGAGGTAAAACGCGACGCGCGACGCATGGGTATTTCCGTTTAGTATCCGAGCTTCGCGATGCACTCGTCAACGTTATTCGCGAATTTTCCGCGCCCTCCGTCGCGAGATAATTAGTGCCCGAATTCATAATAATACGGTTGAGCAACGAGACGTCGACGGTAAAAAGTTTGCGATCGAGTCGAATCGGTTTAAACCAGATGATTCGATACGGAAACGCGCAACCATGACCGAAGAAAGATCGGAAGATAACGTAACTAGAGCAGAACCGAGCGTCGATGTTACAAACGAGTCGTATCGCTCCCATTTGTCATTTCCGTTTCCTCGGCTTTTGGTTTCGTGTTCGAACCTCTCGAAGGCTTCGAATTTCTACTTGCGAAGAGACGACCTTTTTACTTGAAAATCGAATCGTGCTAGGTTTATTTATCTATCTTCCTGGGGGAAAAACGAAAATAAAGGGAGAAGCCACGTCGTGTCAACGACGCCGACGCTTCTTCTATTCGTAGTTTGTTGGGAATCGATCAACCAACAGGGTAAAGTACTTCGGTAGCGCCCTCTGGTACCTACCAGCAAAACTAACTCGAATGCTTTTCGCGTTTTATCGACGCTCGCTACCACGCTTCTCGGGGATAATTTCGTTGAAAGATTTTAGAAGATTTTAGAGGATTTTAAGAGTCGAATGTTTTTGTTGATACAGGAGCATTTACGCTCGATACGTCGTAAAAGATTGCGCGCGAAGGTAAAGAGAAACGAACGTGCTTGCGTGTTGTTCGGGCCAACGAACAACGATGGCCTCGGTTTCAGGGTCGTTTCGGCTATTATTCGCTTGCACCGACTTACCTCGCCTTCTCTTCGTTCGCATCGTTACCCCGCCTCGTTTCTCGCCGTGTTTTGTCTTGCACTGTCTCGCCGGTTACCTAGCCATGCATCCTTTCGCCTTCTTTCGTTTCGTCTAGCCTCGACTCGGCTCGCCTTGCACACCTCTTCGCTCCTCGCCTCGACGCTGCAAGCCATCGCGTACCTTTTCGTTCCCTCTTCTCCTCGCCGACTCATCGTACCTTCGGTTCCGGTTGTAAGGACGCGGTTTCTTCGAATCGTAAATCTCGCTGGCATTTTTGCGATCGAAATTTTTCCGTCGAACGAACGCGTTAAGGTTGGTATCCACTGTCGTGGTTCGCGCTCGATTTGACGTTCGTGTTTTACGTTCGACGTTTACGGATGCAAGACGGTTGTTCGCGTCGAACGATTCGCCGAATGATCTACGTCGAAGGTCACTTTCCAAGGCTCGTATCGAATTACGATTGCAAATCGCAAGGAACGTTGACGTTTCCGCGTTCGTGCCACTGCAGAGAATTCTAGTCGCGCGCTCAAACTCGAGGGCGCTGCTTTCTACCTCGCAGGCGACATCTACGCGTCGCTAATGATTCTCATGAAAACCGAATCGATTTAGGCACTTTGAACTTTTCGTTATGAACTACAGCACTTAGCAACGGTTCGAATGCATACAAATTGCACGACTAAATATTTTTTTAAACTAATTTTCGGTAAGCCGATAAAAATTGACTCCTGCGCCACCTGTTAAAAGACGGCGGAAACTACTCTACAACTTATCGACTGTCCGTCGGTAACTTACGACCGGTAAGTCGTTGAGTAGTTTCAAAAATTAATTTTGTACGAGGAGTTATTAATTTATTATTTTAATCAATTTTGAAGCATTATTTGTATGAAAACCATAGAAACCTTAGTTTTTGCCTGTGTTTCTCACCAGTGGATGAAATATCAGCAACACTAGCGCTTCGACACGAAGTACGAAGGTTGGAAGGCCTGAACCAATCGAAAAGAACCACATGGTCAAGTATCGCGTCACTTTACGTCCGTGTTCGTTGATCGAAAAAGGTAGAAACAAGTAGAACGATACCTACATCGACGGGAGTTATGTCGGGACTGGTTGATCGAAGGAAATTTCAGACGAAAGCATGTTGGTGTCGCGTGGAAACTTTGTTTACGCGTTCGGCGAGAAGTCCCCGTACGTGAAGGATAATAGGAGCCAAGAGAATGCGATCAACGTTATGACGGCAAATCGGATCGTCGTGTTTCTCGTATTTGTGTCCGGTGTAGCGGTTGCTGTCATCGGCACCTTGCTGTCCCAATACATTCGAAGTGCATCCAAAGGTTTACCAGGTAATTTTTCTGATCTGTAAATTTATACGAATTGTCAGGCAGCTTGCCCTTCCCAGTCGTCTAACCTCTATCGAAAGAACCATACTCCCTTTCAGACTATGACTTTCGCCACGTATTTATTCCGTTGCCCTCGGAGGGGACGTTGGACCTGTACGATGAATCCACTTTGGGCGTAGCGTTACCCACGTCGTCCCAACTGGATCAACTGAAAATGCAAAATAACGCTAGGACCACCGCGGAGGCGTTAACGTCGCTGCACTTGGCGCTGGAGATGAAATTATCCGGAAAGCAAAAGAAAGCGGTGAAATTGTTTCAGCATGCGGTGGCACTGGCTCCTCGTCATCCAGATATCTTGAATCATTACGGAGAGTTCCTGGAACACACGCAAAACGATGTAATCAAAGCGAACGAGTATTACGTACGAGCATTGACTTACCAACCGAATCACGAGGGTGCTCTGATAAACAGTCAGAGAACAGCCCGGGTCGTGGAGGAGTTGGATCGAAGAATGCTAAGGCGTATAGACGAGAAACGAAACGCGTTATCGGCTATACCGGATAACAACGCGGCGTTGATTCGCGCGAAAAAGGAGGCTTACTTCCAGCATATCTATCACACCGTTGGGATAGAGGGAAACACGATGAATCTGGCTCAAACCAGAGCGATCGTTGAAACGCGAACCGCGGTAGCTGGTAAGAGCATCGACGAACACAACGAAATTCTAGGTCTCGACGCTGCGATGAAGTACATAAACGCGACTCTGGTCAACCGAGTCGGATCTATTTCCATCAAAGATATACTTGAGATCCACACGCGTGTTTTGGGTCACGTGGATCCCGTCCAAGGTGGCCAGTTTCGACGTACTCAGGTGTACGTCGGTGGTCACATCCCTCCTGGTCCTGGTGACATACATTATCTCATGGAGGAGTTTGCGTTGTGGTTAAACAGTGAGAGGGCTATTCGAATGCATCCTGTCAGGTGAATGAAACTTGGAAAATAATGCCGTACCGTCAGCGTAATATTCTTATTCCATATCATTTTCCTTTTAGGTACGCGGCTCTGGCACACTACAAATTGGTGCACATACATCCATTTTCAGACGGCAACGGAAGGACGTCCCGTTTGCTGATGAACATGATCCTAATGCAGGCTGGTTATCCACCGGTTATCATTCACAAGCAGCATCGTCACACGTATTATGAAAATCTTCAGATTGCGAATACAGGGGATGTTCGTCCGTTCGTTAGATTCATCGCCGAGTGTACCGAGCAAACGTTGGATCTGTTCTTGTGGGCGACCAGTGAGTTTTCCAGGCAAGTTCCCGCTCTTAGCCAAGATACCCTGTTTACCGAACGGCAGGACACGATCGCTTTAGAGGATGATGGCAGCGGTGAGGACAGCTTGGACGACGACTGACACCTATGCGGGTGAATTGTCGCGAAATTTCACGCGACGTATCATTAGTATTTTCACGACCAAAGAATTCTCTGCGCGTTGATTCGCGCAGAGAAACCCATGATCGTCGACGAGTCGACGGTACAGATATGCTTCCGTTACACAACAGTTTCCGTTCCGCTCTATCGTACATTTTTTTGTCGCGTTAGAATAAAATGCATCGCAGAAACGCATGGACGTTACAAAATCCGATCAAAGACTGTGATCTAATGTAAGAACCTTTGTAAGTAGTACATTTAACTGGGAGGAAGACTTTTAAACGTCGGTAGATCTATCTTGCCGTATAAAAGAAGTATCGCGTGTAGATAAATGCAAATCTTACTTGCTGGTCAAGTTATTTGCTACGTATAGAAGAATGTAAATACGTACACTGCTTTTAATAAATACGTTATTTTCGAAATCATCGTTCTCTTGTATTTTTCTTCGTTCACCGTTTCGGTTCGATACAAATTTTCGCACACCTATCGGCGATTGGTACGCGTTAAACGGGCCCGCCATTTTTTTCAGCCTTTAAATCAATCACTGCTGTTTTTTATTTATTAGGTAACAGGGCTAGAATTTTTCATCTTTTTCTCTCTTACAAGTATTTACGAACAAAGCGTAAAGTTAAGGAACGACCGTACATTACTGCCATCAAACGCGCCTCTCGTTTTCTACACTCTACTTTACGTCATTTTCTTATATAAAAAAATATGCAACTGCATCGGCATGTTTGAACACCGCGTTTAAACACAGAATAAAACGGTGGCGCGCAATTTCGAAAGCTCTTTCCCGTCGTCTCGTTACCTGACTCGACGAACCTCGTACGACCGTTTCAAATAATGGCAAGACAAAGAAAATAATTATTAAACGCACGACTTCTACGAAACTTTAATTTCTTTACTTCTAATAAAACATTATCGATGCCTCATCGGATAAAATAACGATACAGAGATGGTTCGCACCGACTGTTTAAGCGCGCGATTGATTAAAATACGTATCACGAGTGAACAGAATGCTTTGCGATTCTTAACGCTAGACGTGCAAATGCTTTGTTTTTTTCCTCTCCTCTTTATACGCAATACAACCATGCGAATTTTTATCTATATATAAATACATTTCTATAAAAATCGAATTTTGTCAACAAACTTAGTCGACGATCTATCGTTTGATCTCTTGTTTCTTTCCCACGTTCGTTCTCATCGTTCACCGTATTCCATTCCCATCTCTTTTTAACTCCCAATCTTTCAGCGGTTACAAAGCCCGTCCTCTTTCTGTCCGTGGAACACGGTTCGTTCGATACCGTACTTTCGTAAAAATTAAAAAAAAAAAAGCAAAAATAAATTGAAATCAAACGGGAGAAAAAGAAAAATCGTCGCTATATCGATTACAAAATCACGAGGGGAAAAAAAAAAGATACAAGGGGAGAGCATATATAAAAGAATATCTAAAACGATTAGCAATAGTAGAATCTTTAAAAAAAAAAAAAAAAAAACATATATATCTTAACATTTCTGTTCTGTTTGACCGGCTACGACTACAGAGTCGAACTCGGATGGGATTTGGTTTATCGAGGACACACCGGGAACGTATAAAATAGTACCGCTCTACGAGGATTCTTTTTGACAGTGATTTTCTCCGTCGATCGTAGCAGGTCCCCCTCAGATTATAGGAACGTTGGGAACGTCGATCGCAAAGTGTCAGGCTATTCTCTTCGATCCAATGACACTAATGATCCGTTGCACGATAAAATTGAAAAAAAAGGACGTGTCAAAAGATTACGATTAACCGGGTACATTTGAGCCTCGTCGAATATCGCGCGGCGCGCGAGTAACCATCTTCACGCCGGCAGCCGATTGGCTGTAGCCCCTCCTCCGAGTTCACCCTGCCAATCGGCTGCCGGCTCGAAGATAGTTAGAGTCGCGCGCAGCGATAGATTCGATGAAGACTCCAAATACAAATTACGGCGCGCAAGATTCGACAGACGCGCACAGCGATTTCTAATTGTTCAATTTTATTCGGAACCTTCGGAGGGAAGGAGTACTCTTCGCACCTTGTACATTTATCACCGGTACAGCGAACAGAAAAAGCGTTTCGATGGAAAGTTTTTAAAGGTGATACCTTTCTACCGCGTATTTTCCTCCATTGTTATCTCGCACGCACGCGACACACGCACACAAGCACACACCGATACACACACATTATATAGAGAGAGAAGGCGTGCGGCGCCATTTACATACGTATACATTTACACGCGTTTACCTACGCGATACGTAAGAAGAAGGTAAAAAGAAAAAAAATGTACGCAGGTGCGGTAAACGGTTCGCGCTTGGCTCTTCCCAAAGCGATTCGGTTGCCTTTCGAACGGACGAAGCGTGAAGCGTTTACGATGATGTTTGGCAGCGATTCGAGAGGAGAGGCGCCGCGCGATGCTCGATTTTATTCGAGGGTGCCGCTACCACGGAGAAACGAAACGTTTCGATTAATTGCATAAAAGGGGAAAAACGGAGAATAAAGGAGGAGAAGGATGAATGGACGGTAATCGCGCGGCACCTGATCACCTGGAGTTACACTCGGTTATCTCTCCGTGTTCTCGAGGAGAAGGAAGAGAGAGGTGGTGGGCGTTTTACTTTTGATATTAAAATGGACCTCGTGATTTTCCTCTACTCCTCCCTCATCCCGCAACAAGAAAATGCAATACTCTCTCGTCCGTCTCCTCCTTCCCTCCTTCGTCTCCGTCCTTGTTAAGCTCGTACGCTCTCTCTCGCAATCTCGTGATGTTTAGCGCTTCTGTATCTCGATTTCGTAAAAAGGATATTTATCTGGGCTTAATTGTACCGCGAATTACGGGTTCGCGTCATCTTCTGGCTGATCTGTTCCTCTTGCAACAGCTGACCACGAAACTGACTGACCTGATCGATCGCGGAGTTCAAGGTGTCGCGTTGTTGCACGAGTAGCTGTTCCCACTTTTGGGCATACGCTGCAACAAACAACAGATTTGTCAGTAGTCGGCTCGCTTTCGCTAGCCTTGCATCGCGACGCTGGTGAGCGGGAGGAAAAAAAATTAAAAAAAAGAAAAAAAAAAGAGTCTTGCAGTGAGTTTGCGTGAGGTAGAAGCGAATTGGTATGAGTTGGCGCCGTCGTATCCGTTCCGTTTCGTTTTCAAATATGTTTTTCGTGACTCGAGAGGCTGGAACGCGCCAGTTATCCTCCTCGACCTTCCAAAGTTGATTCGAAAAAGGAATATCTGCTCGGCCGATGCGTAAGGGGAACAATGTCGTTAGTTAGATCGAGAATCCATAAAAATAATATGTATTTTATTAACAATTCAATTCGTGTACATGAACAGAAAATAAAATAACTGCGCTAAAACGTTCTCGCCTATGGAGGAAAGCAAGAGGTAGAGAAGGGTTTCGAGTTTTCGTCAATTCGCGATGGTTTTCTTTTTCTAATATATATTAATATAAAATCGATGCCATCAAAGTTTCAGGTGAATCGAGTAAAAAGCATTATGCGACCCAAGGATTTCATTAGCGTAAATGTAGATGATGCTACTTGTTCAAGGATCGTAAACCGTGAACGATTAAATTAGCGAGTATCTCTGGTGGGGTATTAAAGGGTGGTAAAGCAGTATTTTGACATGATTGCGAATCGAATGATTGTCGTACCGTCGGAAAATTGTTTTCTCTCTATCAGACGTCTACGCAACGAGAACCTCCTCAGGCAGGACGACTCAAACTTAGCTCTTTTCCGTCTCAAATCTGCAACGGTTTGTGACGTTACGTTCATACGTGTCGTTGTTGTGTTCTTTGTTGTTGTTGTAGAAGCTGTCGATGTTCGAACTGCATCCTTTTTACGGCTGCTACAAAGCAATGAGTTTTTTTTCGCGCGATAGGCGCGCACCACGATTACGCGAAAACCTTGTTTCTTGTTCCTTCGTGTTCCGTAATGTCGGACACTTCTGTTCGTAGGGTCTCCGAATTCAACTCTTCGTCGATTCTGATCGTGGATCGATGCGATTATCGAAGGGTGAGTGTACGCGACGCGAGTAAAAGAAAGAAAAAAAATATATGTCCCTTGACGAGTATGGAATGTACGCGATACTTAACTTCTAATCGATTCTAAAATCTGAACGACCGCGAGACGGTTAAAAAAAGCACTCTGCAAACATTTATCGATGTTGCGATGTTCTTTCAACGTAGACGAAGAACGCCACGTAGAGGGTGGGCAAGAGGGAAAACAGGATGAGATTTCTAACTAGCGAAAGCAATAAATTGCAAAGTCTGCAGGATGCTGATCTGTCAATGGGGGAGCAGCGTTTGAGGAAATAGGAGGACGTTTTATCACGTTTGATCACGCTGTTTCGTCGTTCCTCCGATGCACGAGTTGATTTCCGAGTTGATTTCAGCGCCGTGTCGGTTTCGCCTCTGCGACCGTTACGTTTTGCGTTCTCGTTACTTTCGCTGCTCTCCTCGTCCATGTTTAAATCGTTATAGTGAGACAGTTTCGTTTTCTTCGTAGCCTTTTGCTCGTCGAAAGCGTCAAAGTTGTAATTGTAATTCGGATCGGACGTGGTTCCAACGGAACGATATTTTTTCACGCGATCGTTGAACGTCCCGGACCAATGGTACTTTTGAGCTTTCTTTTTCTTAACGACCGACCATTTGAATCGTGGCGCGGGATTAGGCATGGTCGCGTTTGCGTTGAAACGGTTCCTTCTTGAAACGCGGTCGAGGCTCGAGGCTCGTTCGTTTCGGTGCTCGACGAGTTCGTTGAACGACGATTCGCAGTCGGAATCGCAGCAGGAGCTAGCGTCGCTTCTGCGCTCCGTCTCGTCCTTCCAAGGAGACGCGAAGGAAGCTTTACTGGCCACGTGGAAGCTCCTGCTCGCGAGGCGGGAGCACGAGTCACCGGCCGATGCGACCTCGATATCGTCCATCCTCGCCACCGTTCTATTTAACGTCCTCGTCGCTGTCCTCGTCCCGATGTCCTCTCCATTCCGTATAAACGGCTCGCTTGCGTATGCCTTATCTTTACCGCGCGAATCTGTTGCAAAATTCCATACACACAAATGATGCACCGCTTCCTACTCTAAACCCGCTCGCCTCTGCTTTCCGATTCGTCTCTTGTATCGCTAAAAGTTCCGGCTTACGTAGCTACGATAGTCGCGCAACCTTTGCAACGGACTAGAGGCAGAGAGCGAAAGTATCGCGTCCGGTTTAGTAATCGAGAAGGAATAGAATGAAAAAGAAAAAGAAAAAATAAATAGATGAGGGCAAAAACCGATTGCACGCCGCGGTAAAAACGTACGGACGAGTATCGAAACAGTTGCGTAGTATGCATGCGAACAGAGGGGTGAAAGTTTCGTGCCGGAGCTAGTCGAAAGTTACGAGATCTCGCAAAGTGGGAACGAAACAAGGTAACAAGAAGCATACGTTTATCTGTAGGTGCGCGTTCACGCATACGCTAAGCAGAAAGAGTTGCTTGCAAACAAACGATATATAAATATATAAATATGTACACACACGTATGTACACGTCCACATATACGGGGTGTCCCAAAAAGTAGGTACAATCGGAAAACTGTACACTCTCCGATCGTCCAAAGGGTGTACCAATTTATTTTGATACAAAGAATCTACAGTTCTACAATTGTGCATTGCATTTGGGATATCCTGTATACGTTCGACCGTCTTACCTTCTTGGTCATAATCTACTTCGTGCGTCGCGCTAAACACACTGTGCGCGTCATTGAGGAATCTGGTAGTATTGTCCATGACCATTTTGTGCGTGTCCAGAACTTCCTCCTCCAGCAATTGCAGCGCGGATACTGCCTCGTGGAAGGTATAAAGATCTTGCGAAATTTCACCCTCCTGGGGTAAAATGAACAACGCGGTGAATGCGGTAAATTTCAGGAAAAAAAGAAAAAGTAAACGAGATAGACGCGAACTTACGTTCAACGACCTAAGCTGCGCCAAATCGCTGTCCGATAGAACGCTGTTGTTCGACTGCTCTTCGATCTTCAATCCCCGCTCGTCGTCTGTCGGTGATACCTTCACTTCCGTTGGATCTGTCGCGGCTAATTCCTTCACTCGATCCGCGTATCTGAGGGTGTTCAGCGAGTGCTCGCAGGAGCTCATTCCCGGGCTAATCATCGCAATCTGTGAACACGTCGATAATTGCTTTCATCGCTTCAACCTTCCCTTGCTCGCGAAATGAAACATGGGAAGAATCAATTACCATGCAAGTTTTGGATTTTTCACCGATAAAACTATCCCTCAGCACTTGGGTCAATTTGCTCGCCCTGAATGGTAAATGGGTACCCTTGCGACTCAACGCGCGAATGCACTCCTTCAACGCCAGTAACGATTTGTTGATTTCGGCTCCTTCCATTCCTGTCAGAAGTAAGAAACGCGTTACTAGGTTTTTACGCAAAGTTCTCTGTAAAACTTACGAGTTTGCCTGTTGGCGGACGA